TCAGGAAAATGGGTACAAATATTATGCGTATATAATACACAATTGCAGGGATTAAGCATATAATATGCATACAAATCACGTATTTTTTTATGTATGTAAATTGTACATATATTATATGCTTAATCCCTGCAATTGCGTATTATATATGCATAATATTTGTACCCATTTTCCTGATGATTATTGTACATAGCATTAGATTATTACTATAAAGCAAAAAAACTTTTTTCAATTGTAAACAATTAATTGGTTTAGATTGTTAATTTGAGGCACTAATTGGTAAAAACATGTTTTCTAATCTTATATATTAATAAGTATATATCTTTATTTACATTGTAAAAATCAAATGATGTAGTTTTCCACAAAATAGTCAAGATGTTTGGTTGAGAGCAAATGCCATATGATTATTTTTTTTTTTATTTGTCTATTCAAATTTTTTTAAAAAATATTAAAATAAGTCATGTATAGTGCAGGACACCTAGTCCCTACAGCTTTCTGTGCCACAGCAACAGATTTGGGAAAAAATTCCCAATCAAAAATGCAATAAAATTTTTACAGTCACATGTTTATGAAGATTGTCAAAAATTGATTTTAATTATATGTATATAGATCAAGATAATAAGTTTATATTAGATAATTAATCTGTTTTTAAAGCATGCAACAATCATACCTTTGTGATGTTCTGCAGAGGGCAAAGCTCTCTCCAGGAGCATGCACTTCCCCACATGGGGAAGAAAAAAAAAAAGAAAGAGCAATATGGAATTGTGAATGTTAATTAATTAACTTATAATAAATAAAATTAGCAATTCTGGATTTATATATTAATATTAATATATGAATATTTATTAGAGTATAACAAAACCTCAGTTTTTACAATGTACAGTGTGGAACATTCAATTCCGGAATTAAAAAATTATTCATTACTTCACAACCAATGATCAAAATCACGTGTAATTTTAATATATGAAAGTTGGAAAACAAATGTAAATTCTTTATTATTATAATTTTTTTTAATAAGGGATGCGTTCCCCATTTTTTTCAATTACAAGTTCACAACGCCTTTTCATAGAATCCACTAAATTACTAAGAGTGGAATTTGGAATTTTTTCCCATTCCTCCTTCATAAATTTTTTTAATTCAGTCTGGTCTTTTGGCATCCGTTTCTCAAAGTTAGTCTTAACAATACTCCAAAGGTTTTCAATTGGATTCAAGTCAGGACTATTGGAAGGCCAGTCCATAACTTGCAGCACATTCTCAGCAAGAAATTCTTTAGCAAGTTTACTTGTATGTTTTGGGTCATTGTCTTGCTGGAACCGCCATCTACTCCCCAAAACCTTTTTAACCTCAGGAATATGGTCACGAAGGATATTCACATAAAATTGAGCATCCATAATCTGGGAAAAACAAAATAAACTTGTTTTTCCATTTTTGTAAAATCCACCCCAAGCAAAAATCTTTGTACGATCTTTAGGAATGCGATGAATGGGCCGTTCTCCTTTCTTATGCCAATGTTCTACTGTGTTTCGGAAGAGCTGAAAGGCAGTCTCGTCCGTAAACAAAGTCCTTTCCCAATTGTCATTGAGATGTTTATTTGCCCATTCCACCCGTTTTTCTTTATGAGCAGTGGTAAGCATTGGGGTTGCAGTAGGAAGATTTTTTTCATACCCCATATTAGCCAAGTGCCTTCCTACAGTAACATATGATACCTCCACACCCGTTTGAGACAGTTTTGTGGCTAATGTCCTAGTTGAAAGTGAAGAATCCTGGCGAATGTATTTCCTTAAATGACGTAATGCACTATTTGACATTTTCCGGGGTTGAACATTACCACTAGCATGTTTTGTAGTAACAGTCTTTTTAATTTTTTTACATTATCATAGACAGTAGAGGAGGATATTCCTGTTCTTTTGCAAATTTCTTTGGCATTTTGGATGCCTTTATTCCAATAAAATTCTATTGTTTGGCGTTGGGTTTCTTTTCTGGCGGTCATTGCTTTGCTATTAGTGAAAAAAAAATTTTCAAAGTGTTAGTGTTACAAAAATGTATATATCACAGTTTAGTCACATACCTCATCTTTATTTTTCATTTTAAAATATATAAATTAAGCTTAATTTGGTTAAGCTGTGCAAATTTTAGTTTCCACAAAAAATTTTCTGGAATTGAATGTTCCACACTGTATTCTGGTTCCAAATAAAATCATTTCATGTTTCAATTTATTAAGACTTTAGATCACTTCTTTCTAAAAGGATTAATACAACCCTCAAGTCCTGAAATATACAGTATGATACAATGGAAAATCCAGGGTGGCTCGGGGGCTCTGAATTTGATTGAAATTGAATTCCCGACTCATATTGGTGTATGGTATGAATGATAATACATTAGTAAATCAAATCTGAAATTTGGCTTTTCAACACCTATGTTCAGTTTCATTGTCCCAAATGGTCACTGTTAAAGCTCCTCACGAAGCCAACTCACGTGGAGCCTTGGTCACTATGAGGCAGATGATATCTGGCGGTATGAAATAAATGTTCAGTTGCTGACGATCTTTGTAGTTATACAATCAGGTTAGAAATTGATTTATTTCATTTTATTATTTTTTAGATTGCAGCTTTGCACATTCTACAGATTTGATACATCCCATTAAAATTTATATAGGAAATGATTGTTTTTCTAAATTCTCTGTTTCTTTGATAAATTCTTCCTGGGCTTTTTTGCAGAACTATAAACTTTTGCCATTTCAAAATAGTTTCACACCTAACACTAGTTCAAGCAAAAGTAAGCAGAATACTGGTATACCATCAGTGGATTTTGATTTATTTCATTGCCAGAGATCATTGTTTCCAACGTGAGGATAGCAAACAGTGTTGCGTAGGATGTAAAAAAAAAAAAATGGGGAACGCCATCCCTTATTAAAAAAAATTATAATAATAAAGAATTTACATTTGTTTTCCAACTTTCATATATTAAAATTACATGTGATTTTGATCATTGGTTGTGAAGTAATGAATAATTTTTTAATTCCGGAATTGAATGTTCCACACTGTAAATGAACGTTAAAGGTTTTCGTCATCATTTAATAACATCTTTGATATGATCTCAACTAAGACAGGTGAATGATGATGAGAAACGTTGAAACGTGCGTAAAAATCAAAAAAAAATCCTCCCTCCTTACGAATCTCTCCAGTGCTGGTAATATCCCCGCAACAAATACTATTTCAAAGAGGCCGTATACAAGTTAGAGGTTCTGGTCAGAAATAAAAGTGATATTGGAATATTGTGACTATTTGAAATTCTATCCATTACCAAAAGTCACAATTCTTTTTAGGGGAATACAAGTGATGATGGCCTGTTCAACAAAGCATCCAATAAATAAAAGTGCCATGGATCAAGCGGGAGACTCAAGTTAAACTTCTTCCCACTTACCCTTGAATAATGTTCTGTTTTTTCACAATTTTTTTTTATTTATTTATCACGTTTCATACATTTTTCATTTATTCTTTTATATCCATTAATATTCTTATTATTTGATTGATGTTAATAATAAGAATTATAATAGTTAATAGTTAATCTACTTTTCTGCATAGATAAATTATAATCAACACGATTTTAAATCCAACTTTACAAAACTGGAACTGAATTTAAACCAAATTTAAATTGCAGTTGGTAGACAGTCGTTTTTTTCATTACATAAAAAAAAAATAATAAAAACTAAATTAATTATACAAATAGAAATTAATATTAATTGATTATATTATTCCTCTAAGGAATGTATAAAGTCAGAGTTTTTGGGGGAATTAAATAATAATAATAATAATAATAATAATAACAACAATAAATGATGATATGATACTATCATTTATTATATATCTCAGGTAGTTCGAAATTGATTATTTGAGGTAAATAAGCACATGCTGATAAATCTAAAACATATAGATCATCATATACTGTTTGTCCATCGTATCCTCCAAATACAAAAAGCCTTGAATCGTACAAAACTGATGAATGATATCCGCGTTCAGTTGGCCGTGTTCCATAAACTTTACGACTTTCCCATTGCATTGTAACTTTTATTATTATTATTATTATTATCATTATTAATCATGAATCTTATTTATATATATTTTTAATAAATAATGAATGAATGAATGAAAATACCTAAATTCAGCAGCAACAAATCAGATGAATATTGTGTGCCATTATGACCACAAATAATAAATAAATATGATCCAACTCTAGTTGATGTATGTGAAAGCCTTTTATAAAATTTTTCACTATGAACTTGGATCCATTTATTTTTTTCTATTTGTGAATTAAATAAATAAATGACATTTTATTATTATTATTATTATTATTATTATTATTATTATTATTATTATTATTCCTATTAATGCTATATTATTAATTGATTAATTACCTAAATCCAAAATATGAACATCGCTAAAACATTCGAGTCCATCACTTCCCCCATAAACAACTAACTTGCTTCCAACCAAATTACTAGTATGGTATCCCCTAGAAATTGGTGCACGTCCACTAGGTTCTACTTTTTTCCACACCAAGTTGTTTAAATCAGATACATTCAACATGTGAACGTCATTGAGTGCTCGTGCACCGTCTCCACCACCAAACACATAAATGCTATTATTATAGTATGCTGTAGTATGTGCACGACGTGGTAATGGTATATCTCCGGTTGTTTCAGGCTTACTCCACGATAATGTATCTAAAAAAATTTCAATTACTCTTTGTTCAATTGGGGGGTTTTTTTTTCAATAATAATGATCAATCATCTTTTTAATACCTGTATCAAAAATATATAAATGATTAAAGTATACTGAACCATCTCCTCCACCAAATATAAATAACTTTTTATCAACAAGTGTTGATGAATGTGCACGACATGGCGGAGGTGCTTCTCCAATGACTCTTGGTTTATTCCAATACATAGTATCTAAATTATATTTTTAATAATAATAATATATATATATATATGTGTGTATATATGGATAAACCTTTACAAACATAATAATATATGTACCTGCATCAAAAACATAAACAGTATCAAAACATGTACGTAAATCACGCCCTCCAAATACGTACATCAATTCCCCAACTAAATTAACTGTATGTCCCCTCAAAGCCTTGGGTATTTTACCGTTTGTTTTTATTTTTGTCCAATACATAGCAGGTGCGGGAGCAGGTTCAATTAACAGGGAAGGTGTTGATTGTTCATTTGTATTATTGTGTCTTTTTCCATCTCCTCGATGATGATAATGATTATGGTGACGGTAATAATTATGGTGCTGACTATGATTATGATTATTATGATTAATGCCGTTAGATTTCTTCGATTGATTAGTTTGAACAGTTTGTTCGTGTTGATTGTTTTGATTAGATTGATCAAGTTGCATCGGACTGAGACTACGTCGAATTGGTGGTACTTGTTTAGGAGTCGAGCTATCAGGAGACGACAGGCTAGAAGTTGAAAAGGGACTTTGCGGAGAGGTTGTTACAGGAGAGGCTACTTTAGAAAGGAGAAGGTAAACGAACAGCATAATATAAATTTACATGGTTAGATACAATGGAAGATGGTTTTAAATGAAGTTTGTTTTAACTGATTTTTTGAATTGATTAAACTTTTTTGTAGATTCATGATTTTGGGACGCACTTGAGGAATTTACCAAAACAACGCTACTATGATTGTTATTTGACGATGTAGTAGTAGTAGTAATAATGGTAGAAGTGGTAGAAGTAGAAGAAGTAGAAGAAGTAGAAGAAGTAGAAGAAGAAAAAGGAAAAGAATGAGTTGGTGGAAGAGTTGGTGATTCAGGATAAGCTGGTTTGGTCGTGTCTAAATCGGCATCACCATCATACGACTTGTTCTTGCTTTATTTAATAAAAAATAATCATTAAAAAATTACAAAAAAAAAAAAAAGAAAATAATTAAATTGAAAAATTACTTTGATTGACTAGTAGCAGCCATCTGGGATTTTTGGGTCAGATCTGTTTCTTTCATTATGAAAAGACAATGATGGCAATAATGTTGAAAGGAAAGGAAATAAATGTATACAGTAAGTAATGAGTTCAACAAACCAAAAATGTGTATCAAACTTTATTTTTGGTCTAACGTGAAATTTATCGCATTTCTTGCCGATCTATTTGTTTTTTACTTTTTCGTTATTTTGTTTTTTCTCTTAATGTTAAAAATATGACAAAAGACATTCCAATAATAGATTTTCATTTGTACAAACAAGATTTAAAAGAATTTTCTGAAAATATTAAAAAAGCAATTGAAAATATTGGTTTTTTTTACTTGAAAAATCATGGAATTACTCTACAAGAAATTTCAGAGATGTTTGAAAATGTAAAGAAAAAAGTTTTGAATTTTCTTCTTTTTGTTTCTAAACAAGAATTCAACAAGTCATTCAATTAAATCAGAACAATGTTATTAAAAATTTCAAAAGTCAGAAAAATTTTTTAAATTGCCATCAGAAGTTAAAAGTCTATACAATCAAAAAAACAATTTTGGATATTCTTCTTTTAAACATGAAATTCTTGATCCAAATAAACAAACTTTGAGTGATTTCAAAGAGTAGGTGAAATAAAATTTTTTTTTTGAAATAACAAAAGGTCGAATCACCTTGCCAATTCAATATCTCTTTACACGCATATTTATTATATAATAATTAATTATTGATTGATTTTAGATCATTTAATTTTGAGACATTTCAAGATGATGGAATATTAACACAAGAATTGCCTAATATCTTTATGGAAAATTTGGAAAAAATTTATAAATTTGAAAAAGTTAAAAAAAAACAATAAATAAATAAATTTTTTTTAAAAAAACTTCCAAGTTAATTCTAAATATTATTTTTTGAAAATATTTAGAAATGTCACAATCTATGTATGAATATATTGGAGGGACTTGCAATCTCATTAGAAATACCTGAATCAGAAGGCGGAAGATTTTGGTTTAAAAGTAGACATAGATATGAAAAGAAATCAGGAAGTGTTTTAAGAGCGTTACATTATCCACCATCAACTTTCTTCACCGAAAATATCAAAGAAAAAGATACTAGAGCTGGAAGGTAAAATAAATAATCGGGTCTTTTCCAATTTTTCTGTAAATTTATTTTTTTTAAAATTCATGTTAAAATAATATAAAATTAATTTAAACTTAGTCATTCAGATTATGGATCTTTAACACTGCTATTTCAAAAAGATGTTGGTGGTTTAGAAATATATTTGAGTGATAGTAATGACAATAGTGGTGATGGAGATAATGGAGAAGAAGAATCCAAGTGGATTTCAGCTCCAATTATACCAGGATGTATAATAATTAATATTGGAGATTTAATGAACTTTTGGACAAAAGGTTTATTAAAATCTACAAAACATCGTGTAGTATTTAAAAACAATACAATGAATACGGATAGATATAGCATCGCCTATTTCCTTCATCCTGAAGATGATACTCATTTAGATCCAATTCCGAGTAGATTTATTGATAATTCCACTATTTCTAATACCGATAATGTTGAAGGAGGGAAGAGTGAAAGAGTGGGAAATGATAGTAGTAAGAAAATGACAGCTGGAGACTATTTAAAATATAAATTAGATATGACTCATTTTACTTATTAACTGATACGAGAAAGTAGTTTTACTTGTTTATATTTATTAATTTATCTTGTTTATTTGTTTATTGTACAAGATTTAGATTATGATCTATTGTTATTATTTGTAAGCAAAATCTAATCTTTTAATATCTTGTTTTTCACTTTACAGTTGCTATCATTCTTAATTGCAGGAATTAAATTGGACAAAAAAGACAATATATTTTTTAATTGTAACAAATTGTATCATAGATTATCACATTTTTATTATAATAACGTAAACCTTATTAGGACTTGTGAATTTAAAATCCATGCCATTAGTTCTTAACAAGTTAAATCAATTTCATAATTACCAGATGGATGGGTCCCTTAGAGGCATATTTTTATGAATTTCATTCGCTTGGCAGAATTTGACTAATACTAACTTCACATCTGCGATCTTCCCCATGGCAATTGTAAGTTGGTGTTTTATTAATATTTCTAAATGCCCCACTATTTTTCTATTTATCATTATGTATATATCTCTTCTAGTATTTATAATGATTCTAAATTCTCATAAATCTTTTTTCGACTGACCATATGAGCCTATGAGATGATTGTAAATTTGGGAAAAGATTTTTGCGTTTATCACTAACTCTTTCCTATCAATGCCAATTCTTCATTTACGGCAATACTTTTCAGGGTTAGCCGGGTTTCTCATTCATACAATTCTAGTCGCACTAATATTAATAGGGAAATACATGCTACTTATTCCAAATCATTGCCTTTGATCGTAACCAAATAACAACAACTCTTTTTGTCAAGTCAATAATGATTGATATTGCTATCCTATTTCTGGTATTGTTATGCAACTATTAAAAACATCTCTTATTTAAATTAATCTTTTCTAGTAATAATAATAGCTTTACTGATTTTTAATCAAAACAGACAATACACTTGGGATTTGGAATTCCCGTAGTTTTGACCCACAGTATAATGGCTCATCTGCATCAAGTATTAAAGGAAATCATATGATCAATTGATTTATGGACACCAAGTTCTAACCAGTAAAAATAATATCAGATATATTTGTGATCGACAATTTTTTTCACACTGCGTTCATTCTATTAGTATAATGTCTATAATTTCAGAAGTCAAACGCGGTATACAATTAGCTTGGTTGGGATTAGTATTAGCTTTTGAGAATCGACATTTACATAAACACACATATGTAAAAGCATTCTTTATATTAGCAGCATTTAGTTTGGTACTTTATCTCGTTACATCAATAGTATTAGTAATACCTTTGAAAATTCTTCAACTTTTAGTATATTTATTTTCTTTTGTATTCAACTACGATCCAAATGTATTTACCGAACGTTACCATTTGTGGATAACAAAATATGTTTTCAATCTTCCTTTCCTAGGCTTATTATTTATGAGATACGTTTACCCAGAACCTTTAGACTCGTTATTCATGGAATCACTTCGTAATATTGACGTAGTTTATTTGAAGAAACATGCTGGTGAAAAAAATCTTAGACCACCTTATACAGAAGCATTAGAACGATATCCATACGGAGCAAATTATTGGGGTGAAATGTGGCAATATTTGAAAAGGACTGGCAATCAAATTCAAATTGCAACAATTTTATTTTTGTTGTCATTGATGCCAATCATAGGTTCGTTTGTTTATCCAATAGCGAGTGCTTACGCTTTGGTAGATTCTTTGGGGTATCCAACTGCCATAACTATAGGGATTTTGATGTATCTTACACCTGGAACAAAACATATTGCCATGGTTTCCTTGGAAACCATATTTTCTACAAGAGCATTAATGCGAGAATTGTTGGAACCTTACTTTGGTAGAATAAGTTTTAGTCCAAGCGAAAAGAAAAAATGGTTTAAAGAAAGAGAAGGATTGTTATTTGGATTTTCAATTGCATTTTATCCGTTAGTTAGATTACCTTTGATTGGTATGCTATTCTATGGTGCTGCTCAGGTAAAATATAAAAAATTTTTTTTTTTAATTTTTATTGAAGATAAAAAAAAAAAAAAAAAAGAAAATAATTAAAAATTTAAATTTACACCATATATATATTATTATTTTTTTAATTAATTAATTATAGGCTGCAACTGCTTTACTTTTAGTTAAAACAACAGATCCACCACCATCACCACCATCATCATCTCATAATGATAAAGATACTGACTGATTCTTAAAAAAAAAAAAAAAAAGTTCATTTTAACAAGATTAAAAATTCATCATTGTATATAGAAGCTCAAGAATAAATACAAATAATATTTATTTTTTATCTTTAACTTTGTTGTTTTGCCATACAATATAAGTGAAAGAAATAATAGATCAAATGATTTCTTTTGCTTCTAAATCAGCCCAAGGATCTTCAAAGAAGGATTTGTGATAATATTTACTAATATCGACGTTTTGATGTTTTGGTGATTGATATTTATTAAAACCTCCACCCCTTCTTCCACCCCTATTTCCACCTCTATAATTGCTATTTCTATATTGCCCTCTTCCATTGCCACCACCACGGTAATAATTATTATAATTTTGTCTTTGTGGTCTGTTGTTATATCCACTATTCCCATGATTATATTGTTGTTGTTGATTTCTCTGAAATCTTTCTTGCGGTTTTTGATTATTATAATTACGAGATCTTTGACCTCTAAAATAATTACCGCCTCTGTTTCCAATTGTTCCAGTGTCATCACTCCTTGGAGTTTCTAGTTCGTTTTGGTCTAACACATTATCATTATCATTATTATTATTATTAATTGACATTTTTAATAAAATCTTTTTTAAAAAATATAATTTCAAATGTCCACAATGATCAACATTACACGTCCCATATAAATCCAAAATTTTCTAATTTTGGTAAAAACCTTAAAATTTATTTTACATCAAACTACCACCATGCATGCTATTTTTTAAAAAAACCAATCATGTCACCTACAAATTTTATTTTTTCCACAGATTACATTTCACCAGAAGTACAAGCAGCGTTACCAAAAGGATACACTATTCGTCCTTTAGCTAGTGATGACTATGAAAGAGGATTCCTTGAGGTGTTGAAAGTTCTCACAACTGTTGGTGACATTTCAAAAGATCAATTCCTTGGTTAGTAGTAAAAATTAGCAGTAAATACTAGTCATAACAAATATAGTGGTGGTGATAGTGGTAGTGGTAGTGGTAGTAGCAGTATCGAATGTTCTTTATAAAATTTATTTTAGTGCATGATATCGTCATCTCTGAGATTTATCTACCTCTGTTGATTATCTTGATTAGAACGATTTTATTTTTTGAAAACGCACAATTATGAATACTTTACACTTGTCATTGTTTCACCCGAAGATCGAATTGTTGGAGCTGGAACAATATTTGTAGAACGTAAATTTATTCGTAACACAGGATTGGTATTTACTTTATTTATTTGATTCTCCAACCTTTTTTTCTTCGCCTTCTTGCAAGTTTAATAATATACTTTTGTGTGTGCGTATATATTGTGGTTAGGTCGGACATATTGAAGACATTGCAGTTGATAAGAATCAACAGGGGAAAAAACTTGGATTAAGAATAATTCAAGCTCTTAAATATATTGGAGCAAAGGCAGGATGTTATAAAGGTAATGTTAAATAACGAATAAATAAAGTTGAATATTGTTCACAATGAGATAATAATATTTTTAAAAATTACTATTTCAAAGTGATATTGGATTGTTCTGAAAAGGTGAGGTTTATTTTTCACGCACTGACACAAATACATTAATAAACACAAACACATGCTAACAAATTTATACATGATAGAATGTACCATTTTATGAAAAGTGTGGGTAAGTAAAATAAAAAAAATTATCATGATTAGGTTATTTATTAATAAAGTGATCAACTCACCTACTCGCTCATCTCATTCAATCATCAGATTTACTAGAAAAGAGGTGGAAATGGCATGGTATACAAACCAACAAGATCAAATTAAATCAAAATTATAGATGATGCTATTTATTTATTTATTTTATTTATTTATTTTTATTTATTTATTTTTATTTATTTATTTTTAAAGATTAAAAATTAAAAAAAAAATTACAAGTTTATTATACACGAACCATTTATATACTAATTGATTGTTGAGTTTAGGTGTCATCCAAAAATAGAGTGGTCTAATGTTTTGGTTCTTTGGCACGCTATGCGTATTTGTAAATAGCATACTTTTTAAGCGAATAGATAACTACTACGTTATCCATTTTTTCTATTTTTTTTTGGCATTAATAAAGATTGATGTCACAAATAAATATCAAAACCCATTTTACATAAAGCACCCGATAATATGATTGTGATTGGCTCGCAAAATTAACGCTTTATTTCGTTTAGTGACAACTTTGCACGACTTGCTTAATTCAACTGTTTTGCTTAGCTTTATTTACCCTGCGGGCGTTATCTCAAATTTAATCATTTCAGATAACTTTATTCCGAGGTATTTGCCCCACATTTAATATTTTAATTACGTATTTTGGTTGCTTTTTCAAGTTAGTGATTTCATTTAATAAATTTTTTTATCTTTATGATATCGCTGATCCTTGTTTTTCAATGTTTAATAAAGATAAGTTCACACGATTTTCCTTATCCTGTTTTGAACTTTGACTAACAATCTTGTATATACTAAACGCTCATCACCATATATGTACACAAACCTGATACGTCCATTTTTCTTGTTGCATTTGTTTTTCTCTAACCACTACTTAAATTTTTTCGACGGTCGTGGAACTCTCTAATGTGATGAATACCTTTATACGATTTCAATCAAGAGTTGAAAATCCCTGTCATTCTTCTTCAAAACCCGTTAATTATACAACACATTAGAGAGAAACATATTCAAGACCGATTTTTATTATGTCGTACAGAGCTTACACAAAAATACAAAAATATAAAAAAAAAGTAGATTGAAAATTTTAAATTTAAGATATTTTTTTTTTTTTAAAAAAAATCGGAATTGGGAAGGTGGATTATTTGATAAGTAAAATAAAATAAAATAAAACATAATAAATCTATATACAAATAAATGGCTTCTTTAAATTTAAATGTGAGTGGATTATTATTATTGTTGTTGTTGTTATTATAATTATTATTGAATATAAAATAAATAAATCATTTTTAAACAACTATATATATTTTTTAAATCAACAACAACAACAACAACATGATGTCTGATATATACAATTAAAAAGGTTGTAAGGTGGGCAGCATTGGTATTTGGAATAACTTATGGATTTGTGCATCATAGATCATTAGCACATGCCGAAGCTAAGAATAAAGCAATAGCGAATTATAAACATAAAGAAGAATTGATTTCTAAAGCAAAAGCTGCATACGCTGCTAAGCTTGCAGAAAAAAGTTCAAAAGAAGGTAATAAAAAAATTTTTTTTTATTTTCTTTGCTTTTAATAAATAACAATAATAATAATTGTCATCATTGGAGTGTACACACATACACATATTTAATATTTTTTTCTTTCTAAAATAATCCTTAAAAATAGTTATAACGAATCCAGATGATCCCAACTTTGATTTAGAAAAACTTTTGGTTCATTATGGAAGCAAAGAAAACCATTAAATTATTTTCTAAATTTAAAAAATTCAAGATTAAACCAAATAAATATAAAAAAAAGAACTTTTTAGAAGATGATGATTCTTAAACATCCTTAACATATATATTTATATGTATATTATATATTTATATAAAGTCAGTATATAAATTATATTATTGCATGCAAAAATTTTTTATTCCTTAAAACAAGCACATTCACACACACATATATACATTCATACATACAAACACAAATTTTTAATAATGGATTTTTTTAATTATTATGATGATTATTATTACTATTATTATTATTATTATTATTATTATTATTATTATTATTATTGCTAAATTAAAGAATTCCCAAAACAAATTTAAAAACAATACTTGAATATTCTTGAATCATTTGGGTTTGAGGTTTGTAATCCATAAAAAAAAATTACGTGATAAAATAAAAATGGTTTGGAGGAAAAAATATTTTTTTGATTTATTTGTTTTTCAATTCGTGTTACAATGAATGGTGACAAGAATATTTTTGTCTAGAAAATTTTTTGTTTTTTTTTTTCTGAAATAAATACAAAATGGAAGAACAAACACAAACAGTTATTGATCAAAATGTTGTTGAAACATCACCAACCATTTCTGCACCTACTGCTGTAACATCAGCAACGGCACATATTCAAGCACAACAACTACAACAAATACAACAACAACAAAACCAACAATTTATGGAAAAAGTAAGTGCAAAAATAATTTATATATTTTACTTCCAAGCTAATTAGCTAATTAATAATAATATATATATTGAAACAATTCAAAAAAAAAAAAAAAGTTTTGGAATGAACAGCTCAACATTGCGACAAATTTTGAAAGCGATTTCAAGAACCATTCATTACCTTTAGCTAGAATCAAAAAAGTAATGAAAAGTGATCAGGAAGTCAAGGCAGGTTTTTTCTTCTTTCCATTACCACTTGATGTTTGGTTTTATCAGTTATAATTAAAAAAAAATAAATTTAACTAAATTAGATAAATAAATACAAACAAACATTTATTTATTATTAGATGATTAGCGCAGAGGTAGGATCATTGTTTGACATTTTTTTATAATTGTTATTTTGTTGTCGAGAGAAAAAAATTAACATGTATTTATATATATCAGGCGCCAATTATATTTTCTAAAGCGTGTGAAATCTTTATAACAGAAATTACCATGAGAGCTTGGATTCACGCAGAAGAAAATAAACGGCGTACATTACAACGAAGTGACGTTGCATCAGCTGTCAATAGATCTGATCAATTCGATTTTTTGATAGACATTGTTCCTAGAGAAGAAATGGCAAAAACTGTAAATAGAAGACAAAAGGAAGAAACTGTAGGCGTTAATAATACCATATTTACCATTTCTATTATTCGTATTATTTATTTATTATTCATATATTCACATTTATATTTATTTATATAAATATTCTTTATCTAAATTTCTTACTTGACTAAACAAATCAGTCTACAGAACAAGTTTTCAGCGATCAAAATGTCTCGGCATATTACACACAACAACCTGGTCTTCAATTCACATCAGAAAATGAAACGGCTAGTTATTTCCAACAATCAAATAATTAGATAAATATATTTTTAATTGATAGTAGTGATTATTATAATGTGATACAAGTATGATTGGCATATTATAAATATTAAAAATAAAAATAAACCCCTACTTATTACGCGTGAAATAGTGGCTGCAGATCGTCGCGTAAATACGTAATTCCATATGAATGTAAATTTTTGACGTTTCTTCTTTTGAGGAACAATCAATCCTTTAAAACCCGAAATGACGATGACATATTAGATTATCATGTATATACATAAAAAATGTGCGTAATAATCTCATATATTTTATGGTGCGTGGGTAGATTGTTCAACAACGTGTAGTACCTCGAGCGTTATATATAGTAAAGATATAACTAACTAATTCTACCATAGTACAAATATGTGTTGTATATGCTATATTAATATATATATATAAGAATTGGTTCCCGAGTAATCCTTCAATTCTGCACATTTGTGTGCACGATCAAAAATTTTTAATTGTTCCTTTGATAATTTATGATGTATAGTTGATTGATTGGTTGGTTGGTTGGTTGGTTGGTTGGTTGGTGGATACATTCTTCAGATGATAAACAAAAAAAATTAATTCCTCAATGTAAAATAATAATAATGTTATTATTAAACGATGATGATAAATCAAAAGTCGCCGATCTTTGTGGAATTCGTGGGTGGCTAAAGAGATTGTATCCCTGAAATATATATATTATATAGGGCTTCGCTTATTGTTAGTCATTTCTTGTCACATTGTGATTTATAATGACATAATAATAGCCTTTAATTTATCTTTTAAAAGAAATAATATTAATGATCAGGTGAATGTGAATGGTGACATTCACATTATTAATTAATATAGGTATAAATGGAAATGAAAAGATTATTATTTTTCAAATAATAGTATATAATAAGTTTAAATATTTGAAGATCGTCACATCTCATTGTTCTCCAAATAATCCAGTCAGACACATGAAATTCAAAAAAAAGGTTTGTTTATTATTCAAATATCATTTGATAATTGATTTTCAATATAATTACCAAAAATAAAATACATGTGACCTTGCTATATGATGATGATGTTATGTGTATGTATACAACAGCATTTTAAAATAAACATTTGGATTAGTAAGTAGATGATTATGGTCAATGCTTAAATTCTAATCTATCTTGCGGAAGAAATCTGATGGTTGAAAAAAATGCTTTTTTTTTTTTTAAACAAATCAAAAAAATTGTAAAATTTATTTTTCATCCTATGAATAACAATAAATCAATTGAAATTTCCTTTTCTTTATATATATGTTCTATTTCTTTTTCAAAAAAAGAAAATAATTGTTTATTGATTTGTAAAATTTCACATGCCGATTTAAGTTGCTAAAACTTTAACTTAAAAAAATTAATTAATATAGTTTTTTTAATTGGTTCATTTCTTAATGTTATTATATTTGCTATTTAATATTATTCCTGATTTTATATAAAATGTTATACAACCGTGTTTTTTCAGGTGATTTTCAAACAAATGTTTACAATTTGAATGCCTAATTACTCTAATTACTCATAATATTTTCACATTTTTTTTTTATAAAGTAGACTTATCATCGATTTCCCCCTTTTTTATTAAAAAATTTTTTCTAAATTTAAATTTTTTTTTTTTAAAAAAAAGAAAAATAAATACTACTTCATTCGGTTTGCTGCTGATTTTTTTTTATGACAAAAGTTTTTTAATAAAAATAATTATAATTATAATTATTATTTTCAAGAAAGAAGTCTTTTGCTCCACAATTCAAAATACACGTACACACACACACACACACACACGATAATTAAATAATTTATTTATTTATCAAAAAGAACTTTTTTACGAATTCATATCCATCATCCATCTTAACGATTAATACATAACATGTCGCTGGACGGTAAAAAGAATATTTATTATTTATTGTTGTTTATTTATTTATTGTTTATTATTATTGTTCCGGTTACTATAATAATAATGTTTTATTTACATTTGCATTCTCTCCCATCAATATTTTCGCACACGTAAAATTAGAAAAACACCAAACTAATGGTATCAAGGAAGTTGATGATAAACACCATCAGATAAACGGTATTGACGAAAATGTCGCACCGGAATCAGTATTTATGAAAAAAATGTTGGGAATACCCGCAATCAATGACATGCATAACTTCGCTAAGGAGAGTAAATACGGGAAAATAGGATACCAAATGGTTGGCTCTGCTGGCAACATTGTATCAAAAGCTACTAAACCTTTCCAAAATCAAATAAAACAAGCAGACGAATTTGCTGCAAATTCTATAGGTTATGTCGAAGATAAATTCCCCTCCATCAAGAAGCCCACGGCAGACCTTGTCGATGATTTAAAAAAGCCCATAGCTACCGTTGGTAATACGATCGACAACAAATGCATCACCCCAGCCATGAATATTGCTACAAGTGTCCAATCGCAAATCAATCAACGTGCTGTTGAACCTACAATCGAGATCGCTAAAAAGGTCGATGCCAGTTTCGAAAGTGTCGTGGATGTGTTCGAGTCCACACTTAACACTTATTTACCCGAAGATCAATCCACTAATGAAAGATCCGTCAACACCACCACAGTTAACGACTCCACTTCTGCTGATCTTCTCCAAACCTTCCGCGCTATCAACATAGCTTTAATAGGTCAAAGACGTCTGACTAAACGCGTCAAGGCTCAAATCAACAGTACTCAAGAATATACAGGGGAACAACTTAAGCAACTCCAAGAATCAAACCAACTCTTAAAGAGTGCATCTGAAACCGTAGCCAGTCTGAATCAAATGTTGCTTGGCATTGTCGTTAATGTAAGAGGTACAGTACAAAATCCTGAAATTGCTTCAACTCTTCATTCTAAATTACACGACATTGCTTCTATAATTCTTGGCAATGTGAATAAAAATGAAGATTTACCAAAAGCTGTTCAAGCTCGTGTAATTGAATTATCACAATCACTTTTGCAAACAACTGATTCGATTGCCACATATGTCCGGGCAAATGCAAACTACTTTCCTGAATACATTCGTTTAAAACCCCTCACAGATTTCTTTGAACAACGATACGTCGAGATCGTAAAAGAAATTAAAGAAGGTGAGGGTTCTCCGATTGAGAAGGCCAGAAAAGTCATCAACATCACCACACAACACACACTACCACTTTTGAACGATCTACAAGAATCCGTCCAATCGTACAGCTCATCTCTTAATGATTCCTTCATCAACACCACTGGAAAAGTAAAATCAAGATTCGTCGGTGTCAATTAACTAACCAATGACTGTGGATATATATATATATTACAATAAATAATACATATTTATTTATTACTATTTATTTATTAAATTAACTAGTCGCGCTTTTTTGATCATAATTGTCGACTGATTACTATCACATTATCATTCCCCTTTTTTTATTTATTCCTACCACCACCACCAATAATAATATATTTATGTAAGAATGAATGTGTGTGTAAAATGTATTTGGTGAAAAATAGAGGCTCCTTTTTTTTTCACCAATTAAAATCAAAAAATTTTATCATTCTCCTCTTTATTTTTTCTTTTACCATTTCTCTTCCATCATTTCATCGTTATTATTTTTTCTTCTTTCATATATACATATACATTATACATATACATATATATATATATATATATATATACATATATACATATAATTGGTTCATTCAAAAAATTTTTAGTTTGTTCTACTTTTTTTTCTTTCTTTATTTTTGTTAAATCAGAGGTTGAATAATAGTAATAGTAATTTAATATCAACGCTCATCTTGAATTTTCTTCTGCGACGAGGAAAAAATTGGCATTAACATTTAAAAAAAAAACTTTACAAATACTACTATTTTTTCCTCTCTTACTCTTCTTACATTCCTTATTATATTCATAATGATAATATAGCAAGATTGATTTTAAAATAATAAATAAAAAAATAAATAATACTGTGTATTAAAAAAAAATTGTTCCAATATTTCTAATATTAATTTAATAATATACAGAAAGCTATCAGCACATGTTTAAAAATTATTAGTACAAAAACGTACATAAATAATAATTAAATAAAAACTGTCATTTCGTATCTTAGGTTCACCAAATTATATATGTGCAAAGTTTTACATCTCTAACACTTTCACTAAACCAATGGTTAAAAAAAATAAAATTTTCGACCAAAAATTTTTTGACGAAAAGATCTCCCTCAATATTTTATTAGCTAACATTTTTACATAAAAAAATTTCAGTAGATTTGATCAAAAAAATGACCTCGTTGCACATATATAATTTGGTGAACCTAAGATACGAAATGACAGTTTTTATTTAATTATTATTATGTACGTTTTTGTGCTAATAATTTTTAAACGTGTGCTGCTAGCTTTCTGTCTATGTAGTGTATATTATGGATAAAACATATATATTTTTTTTTACTTAATCATTGTCACCATACTTGGAATACGGCCAAGAATTAATTGAAACATCAGACCTTGGTACATTTTGCATGTATATTACTCATACTGGTACGATTTTTTTTTTTTTTTTTTGAAACAATTGTATAGTAACTTGTGCGGGTTTACATTTTAAACGTACAACGATGATGGCAGTTGTAATAATAGCAAAATATAATTATTTTCATTAAAAGAATTGGAATCTGTTTCTTGTACGCAAGTAAAATGTTCCAATAAATTAGTAATGGGTTTGATTCATTTCGTCGACAATCATTTCGTCGACAGTCATTTCGACACCCATTTCGTCGAAAGTTTGATTCATCGAAAGTTCATTTCGTCGAATGCTCATTTCGTTGAATGTTCATTTCGTCACATAAAAAAAACTTCATTAAACAAATTTCTCCTCACACTTCCCACACACCCCGCTTTCCTCACCTAATTTCTTAACTAACTTCCCACACTCCTCACATCTAACTCGTTCGGTCTCTGGCTCGAGGATGAAATAATTTTCGACGAAATGAACATTCGACGAAATGAACATTC